GGGCGGGGGAGCGGATCCCGCCGGTGGAAGAGACGGTGACAGCGAGCTTCATGCCGGCGGAGCAGTGTGCGGGAGCGGCGCAGATGAAGTAATGTGTGCCGGCGGTTTTTAGGGTGATGGAGGTGGAGCCGCTGCTGTCGGAGGAGATGGAGTTTCCGGTGGTGCAGCTCTGGTAGTCGCTCTGCGTCACTTCATCCACCGTGTGGCCGGCGCCATAGCTGAACACTGCGTTCCATTTTCACCATTACAAGGTATAAAAACCCTAATCCATTATATCTCACACTAGAAAAAAGGTCCAAAACACATTATATATATATGTATGTATGGAATGAATATATGAAAAGAAACATACGGAGAGTATCGCCGACCGCAAAGGTCTTGCTACTGGTCAAGGAGGTGTAGTCTGTCCCGAGTGACCAGCTGACCGTGATAGTGGTGGCCGAGGAAGGTGCGGCCATGGACAAGAAGAGGGCCATGGAAACAAGAACTAGGTTTAACTTTGCCATTTTAGAGGAACTCTTATACTAAAGTTGTTTGTGGAAATGGAGCATGTGGGAATATATATAATGGAATAAAAGCGTATATATATATATATATATATATATATGGTGGAGTTACTAAGATTTTGGTCTACTTGTCTCAAACTAAAGCTTGTATAAAGGTAAGGTCTGTTATATATATATATACATATATATATATATAAGGACCGTCTTTTAGCAAGTGCAACCGGTGCGTTTGAACATGGCCCCATTAATTTGGAGGCCGGATCCCCCGTCAGCAACCACGTCGATTTCTCAGGCCAGATTATTGGCTCGCTCTTCCTCCAAGCTTTACCAAACCATTAAACGCTACCAAGTAATTAATTATCATCCCAAGTTTTCATTGTCTCGTACATAAAATTCCTTTATAAATTAATATTATTATCATTAATACATAAAAACATTACAAACTTTATTGATGATAATTACATTTTTTTCGAAATTAATAATTTTTCTAAATCAGTAAATAATTTTATTATTAATTTTTATTCTATAAATTTATATTTTTTTATTATTAAATACTTTTAATAATAATATTTTTATTATATAAATTTATAATTTTTATTAATTAATTTTTATAAAATGTACAGGGCCCCATAAAAGTTTGAGACGGCCCTGATATATATATATATATATATATTGCTTGGGACGTACTCATTACTCAATTACATTCTTAACCATATAAGACTTTCAGACACTTTGGATAATCATAGGCCTCTTTAATTTTTGAGTGTTTCTATCACTCGTACTCGATCAAAATTTGAATTAAACCTCATTGTATTTGCAAGAAATCTTAAAGAAATCGAAGAAAAAAAACCGATTCAGCGAATGAAAAAGCCGGTTCTTAATAAGAACACTCAAGTCAAAGAGGCAAATGATGCAACAAAAGGAAAAGAAGTAGTAGTCATCATTTCTTCACAACAATCATATATATAAAAGATTAATCAAAAGCAAGCAGATTCATTTTAACTTTACCAACAACACCAATAAACGAGTTAAAAATCGTTGATTTTTTCATTATTCAACATAAAACATTAATATTTAAAAATAAAATCACAAAATATCAACTTATTAAATTAATATAAATATTTAAAAGATAGAAATAAACTCAAATCTAAATATTACATAATCTTCTTGATATATGCCATCACCCGTATGCAATCGGGTGTTTGTATATATCCTCTCAATAATTTTGTCTTGGAGCTCTATTTGGCCAAATGCTAAAGGAAGTCAAAGAGTAAAATCACGAAAACGAACGTCCAACTTAGAACAAAATATCCTTCATGGTTACTCAACCTATAGTCTAAGTTAATGAAAACTTTAGATTAATTATGTGATAGAGACCCTCCAACAAATTTGAGTAGCCTCAATATTATACACCACATTCTATAATCAAGAGAGATGTAATTAGATGAAATGGTAAACATCTTGCCAAAACCTTTCTTGTTATATCTCGCCAAATATGAAGAAAAAAAAAACTTATACAATGTTATAGGGAAATATATAATTGTTATTGTGTATATTCGATTAAAAACCAGATAGGGTTGGTTCCAAACCGGAGAGATATATTAGTCCAAATATCCAAAAAAGACTGAAATGAAGTTGGGGCACGGTCCATTATGAGCGCCTCTCAAGATGTAATCAAATCTTAAAGAGAGAAAAATGATACAATTAGCATCATGGAATAAATATATATATATATATATATACAAGTGAACTTGTTGGTCCTCTCATGAATATAAATATAATGTTACTTCAAAGTATTTCTCTAATAGGCAACACAATTAAAACGATAGAAAAATATATATGTGTTTATGGTCCTTGTCCACGTTTTTTACATGCTAACACATCTTGTCAGTCACCACTACTTATCTATGTTCATAATTAAAATTTGTTTGAATTCATTTCCTTTTTAAAAAAATTGTTTCTCCACCGAATGACCTCGAAGAAACCATTTTAATATATATATATATATATATATATATATATATATTTATTTATTTATTTATATTTCAAGAGCTGAGTTATGACCTCAAAGGTAAGAAATGGCTTTCATGAATGAGACACGGCACCAAATAACATTAGAAAAAACCCCAACTTAGGCCGAATAAGTCAACGCAGAGATCACAAATCCCAATTACTCCTTCTACTTGATCTCTAAGAAAAATTCAGAAAACACAGATTTCAATGAATCATCTTCAACAATCGGAGAGAAAACTTTCTCATGTTTCATCCGTTTTCCCTCCTCTAATGTAACAGTTTCCTCCTCTCCTCTTGATCTTCTTTTCTTGTAGTGCAAGCGAAGGGTATGGCGACTTAATCCGTTTTACTCTTCCTTCGTCTCTCTCTCCCTCTCTCTCTTGAAGGTCCTTTAATGGCGAAGAAGCACAGAAAGCTCTTCCCTCTGCTGGCAGAGACAAACAAAACGATAGATTGCTCGACTGGATTGTGTGACCTGGCTTGCCCTTACAATTGCTACTCTGATCCTGACTCCTACACAATTTCCCCAGAGCCGTCTCCTCAGTTCACGCTCCCTCCTCTTTCTCCGTCAATCCCGGCCGTCTATGATCAATCTCCGAGCTATCCAATCTCACCAGACACGGTAATCATCATCACTGTCGCCTCTGCCGTCCTAGCCATCCTTCTCACTGGCTTCGTCTTAGCGGTGAAGTTTGCATCCAACAGAGTAAATCATGTCAGCCGTGGAGGAAACCAGACTGATCGTGAAGATTCTGAAGAAGAGGTTCTCAACAGGGAAGAAGTGGACCACCCCATCTGGTACATCAGAACCACGGGTCTGCAACAATCGATTATAAACTCCATCGCCATCTGCAGGTACAAGAGAGGGGACGGACTGATCGAAAGAACGGACTGTCCCATCTGTCTGAACGAGTTCGAAGAACACGAGAGTCTTAGGTTGTTGCCCAAATGCAACCATGCCTTCCATATCTCGTGTATAGACACATGGCTTAGGTCACATACGAATTGTCCGTTGTGTCGGGCCGGTGTAGTCAGTACTGAATCTCCACAGAGCTCAGCCCCGGAGGATGCAAGTGCCGGAAGCTCTGGCTCAGGATCACAGACGGAGAATGCTGGAGATGGCGATGGCGGTGAAGCCAGAGATGGCGACCAGAGCGAGGACAGAGCTGAACCAGGGAGAAATGGGTATGACACGGCGTTGAAAGACCCGATGAGTTCCAGTGGCGAAGATTCTCTGAATCCGGGCCCGAATTCGGATGCCCAGATGGAAAGTTTCCGTCTTTTGAATGAATCTGATCGAAATTCGGAGGAGAGACCCAGGATCGAATCCAATAACCGCGTCGAACCAGAGAGAGAAGACCACGTTAGAGTTTCTATGGAGTCCTTGGATCCAAATCTAGGAAGATCCATCTCATATACGGTTACCCAGATGGAAAATTCAGATCTTACCGGAAAATCTTGCCAGAATCAGGAACCAGCAAGGATCAGCCAGTCAGTGAACAGTACCGAAGGAGAGACGGAGACAGAGTTCGGAGAACAAGCCAGTTGCTCCAAAGAAAACAGTTTCCAATCTCGGAGAATGCCTGATTCCATGGATTCCGGCGAATCGAACGAGACGTCGAAATTTCATTCAGGCATTTCGTCGAACATGTCGAAGCCTATCGGAAGCTCGCGTTTCGGTAGAACCACGAGCTCGGTTTTCCCGCTGTAGTAAAATTCTTCACCAACCATTTTCCAAAGGTAAAAAGCAAAAGAAAGAAAATTCACAAGCGTTAATGTAAATTCCAAAATTGTATAACGATGAGAAACAACCTCTCCCACTGCTTATTCCTGTAAGAAGAAAACATCGCCGAAGAAACAAATCTCCTTTCGAGTTTGATTTTCTTTACAAAAACCTATATATATATATATTACAGAGAGAGCCGGTATTTTTCATTATCATAATTATTTTTCCATATTTGGTAAATTGTATATATTAGTTGAGTGAAAAAAGAAACAATTATTTGTAGGTAATTACATCTTCAACATTACAATAGAATAAATTGTTTAATTATTTATGAGATCACATCGATATATTGTTACGACACGTTTATAATTGGGACACGATGAAACACGATCGTGTTGGGATGCTTATGGCATTTGGAACTTTTAAATTAATTTGCCTAATTTTTTATATGCAACACGTAAGCTTCAATTAATTATATATAGTTTTCACTTTAGAAACCAATTATTAAACCTGGTAATTTCTTTGTGATGTCAATATAAAAACTGGATTTTAATCCATAAAAAATCGTAGAAAATAAGGTTATCAAACTTTGTTAGTATCATATCAATTTTTAGGGCTTAAACTTTTGGATTATGGTCTTCCGACAACAACAAATCAGTTTCAGAGTGAAAAATGTTTTTACATTCGTATGCAGTATATAATATTAATAAGTCTCTATCTTAATTAATAATTTGTGAATATGATAATTCTACATCTATATATTGATGGGCAGCGCCAATAAATTATTATAAATTGTTAGGGTTGTGGTTTGTTGTAAGTTGTAATGCGCAAAATTATTCTATAAACTGGTATAACAATAAAATATTTTATGTATATTCGGTGAAAACAACATTCACATTGATATGAATGATGATCATACACAAAATTAAAATACGACTTCATAACAAAAGGTAAAGGGTTTGCATTTTTGGAATAAATAATCTTATTTGGGAATCAAATTATCACGCTACACAAGTTACAAATTACAATCAACCCATTTTCACACACACACACACACACACATATATATATATATATATATATTATACACACGATTATAAGGGGCTTGTTTCCAAATTGCAAATTCTAATGTCTATGATGGAAAAAGCTGCTGAACAGGCAGCTATATACATGAGAGGCCTTTTCGTGTTTTATTTTTCTTTTCTTTTTGTGACGTATACTATACTATGGAGGCCTTTATATATATATATATATATATATATATATATATATATATATATATATATAATTTACATCACACACATATGTTTTT